GACAGCCTTCTATGATGAAATAACAAGCTCAGTGGAGAGCAATGCCTTTAGTTAGTCTTCCATAACATTTTCATAGGCAAAATGACAAAGTACAGACAAGACAAATGAACAGTAATTGATGGGACAGTAAAGGATTGACAGGAAGTTGAGCAGCTAAGGTTTGAAAACTGGTTGAATTGTTGGCTCACAGGGTTGTGATCAGAGACACAAAGTCCAGCTGGGGGCCAGTCACCAGTGGTTTGTCCCAAGGATTGATGTTGTGGCCCGGACTGTTTAATATCTTCACTGATGATGTGGATGATGGGACAGAATGCACTGTCAGCATGTTTGCAGATGATACAAAACTGTGAGGGGTGACTGGTGTACCACAGCAGTGTGCTGACATTCACAGGAACCTCCACAGGTTAGAGAAATGAGCAGGCAAGGATCTCGTGAAATTCAGCAAAAGGAAATACATCTGAAAAAGAACAATTCCAAACACCAGGACAGGCTGGTGTCAATCAGCTGGAAAACATCTTAGCAAGGAAGGACTTGGGGGTCAGGGCTGCCAGCAACTGACATGAACCAGCAGCGTGCTCTTGTAGCAAAAAACCCCTCACAGCCTCCAGGGCTGCACTAGGCAGAGTGCTGCCAGCAGGTCAAGGGAGGTGAACTTCCTCTACGCCAGTGCTTTACTCAGCCCTGGTGAGAAACATCTGGAGTGCTGCATCCAGCACTGGGCTGACCAGTAGAAGGGAGAGATGGACTTACTGAAGCAAATCTAGCACACCACCAAGACGACTAAGTGCTTTGAACATCTGTTACACAAGGAGAGGCTGAAAGAGCTGGGACTGTTCAGCCTGGGGAAGGCAAGGTTCAGGGGCATTGTGTGTACTTGATGGCAATGGGGAGTAAAGAAGATGGAACCAGACACGTCTCAGTGGTGCACAGTGACAGGACCGGAGGCAGTGGGCACCAACTGAAGCAGGGGAAATTGCATATAAACATAAAGAAAAGCTTTTTTTTTTTTTTTGCTTTTTTTTTTTTTTCTAGCGGTGGGGGGAAGGAGAAGGAAGGAGGGTGCGAACCGGCGCGGTGCCGGCAGCGGCTGCTTCCCGTGGGTCGGGCGGAGGCGTCACGCGTGGGAAAAAAAAATAAAACCCACCCAGGCCAGGCGCCTGTCTCCGCTAGGTCCCGGCGGGAGCTGCGAGGCTGCACCGGGGCTGAGCAGCCACAAGAGAGAGCCAGACCGTTACCGGAGAAGCCGGGGCTCCGGCGGGGGAGCCGGCCCGGCCCCGCCCGACGGGGGATGCTCAGCCCCGGCTGCCCCCGCCGCCGGTACCCGGTACCCGGGGCTCGCTGGCAGGGAGCGGGGTGAACCCGACCGCGCTGCTCCGAGCGCTGCGGCTGCTTTTTCGGGATGTAGGAACCAACCGGGAGCAAAGGCAGCTCTGCCCGGTAGAGACAGAGTTTGCCGGTGCGTTGTAGCGAGGCTGATGCCCTCCGCAAGCCGGAGCATCTCCTGCTTGGGCTCGCAGCCTGCTGCCAGCATCCCCTCGCCAGGGCCACTGCGCTGGCTTGGGAAAACCCAGGAGGGTTAAAACCAAACCAGCCGGCAGGCAGAGGTGCTGAGAAGCTGCTGCTCTCCCCAGGCCCTGCGCTCAGCACCTCTGACAAACTGAGTTTTTAACCAGGGGGGGGAAAAAAAAATAAAGAGGGAAGGGACAGCCCCTGGGAGAGGCTGGAGGGTGAAGAGCAGAGGGGCTGCGTGAGCTCGGACAGGATCAAAACCCTCTGGCACACGGTGCTGGGAGGCTGGGCTGTGGGTACGGTGCTTTTCGGGACGATGCAGCCGTGTGCCTTTGGGCTGCTCCGTGCAAAAGGCCTCAAGGGTTCGGTTCTGTTCTTTTATGGTCAGCCTGGACTTGTCTGAAAACAGAGATCTGGGTAAGAGAGCTGTGCCTTGGGGATCTGGGGGAGTTGAGAAGGGTCAGTGTGAGGTTAATGGTTGGACTAGATGATCTTCAAGGTCTTTTCCAGCCGAGATGATTCTGGGATTCCCCAGCAGCCTCCTTTAGGTACCGCTGTATAGACGCGTCTCCGATCCCCCTCACAAATGCTGTTGGCAAGTTGTTTTTCAAGCCGCAGAGAATTTTCTACAAAAAGTTTTCTTGGGGAGGGGGAAAAAAAATCCTTTAATAAAACATCAGATGGGCTTGATCCTGAAGCAAGAAGGAATAACCACAAGCCAACCCAGCCCTCAGCACCCCTGGAGCAAGATGCTCACCGGTAGCGGAGCAGTGCAGAGGCAGGGAGGGAGTGGAAGGTGGCTCAAGGGGCTTCCCCTGTTCCACCCCAAATCTGGGGCTCTCTGGGCCCAAGGCATCCCCCCACGACTCCGTGACATCCCTGGCATGGGACCGACCGAACCTGCAATCTGGAAGCCATCCCGTCTCCATGCTGGGCTGCTGCTGAGTTTTTCTTCTCCCCCTGTCTCCCTTCATTTCCTTTCTGGCTCTCACCGACCTCCTTCTGTGGTTTGAGCACTTCGGCTACTCCTGCTGCTCTTTCCCCACCTGAAGCCCTAATCCTCCACCGGTGACGTCGCCGGGGGTTGTTGTGGCAACGGTTGGGATGAGATCAGGAGGAAGGGATGGCTTTTTCAGGTGGAGGAATAGGCAGCACGGCCGCCTTGGCTCCAAAAAACCAAAGCGGCTCTTCACAAGTAAATCTTTGCATGTAATAAAGAGGGAGAGACTGGAAAACCTCTGATGCCTGTCCAGAAATTGCTTCCAAAGAGAAGGGGCTAGGTGGGTCCCTGGGTGAGTCCCTGGCTTGGAAGGGTTACTCCCTGGATGCATTTGGCCTGTTGTTTTTCCATCAGCAGCTTTTTAAAGCCGTGGGGTTGGGGAGCCCTTTGGACCATGCGTGGAGCCCTTGCAGACAGTTTAATGGCTGTCAGGATTTCTGGTGCCTCGGCAGGAGTGGCCGTGTGCTGTTAAGCAGGAGACCTGGGGCTGAAGGATGGTGGCTTGCTGGCTCTCAAGAGAGGGGTACAGATGTGCTAGAAAAAAAGCCCTGGGAAGAGGAAAATGAGGTGCAGGTAGAAAGTCATTCCCACACGGAGAAGGATGTGGAGAAGTTCCGTGCCTCAATTTCCCCACCACCCAGGGGGTGACACAAAGGCTGACACAGAGGAGCAAAACCCCATCTCCTGACTGGCTGTGCACAGCCCCCTGTGTTGGATTTGGCTGAGACAAGTCGGGGTGCTGGGAGAGACAGAGTTCTGCACCCCCAGAAATGGGTAAAGCAGCAGGAATTTGCACCCCCAAGTCTCCGCCGGAGCCAAATGGCCCCGCTCCGCTGGCCCTGGCAGGGCTGGGACTTCTGCCAGGGGGAGCTTTGGCCCAGGATACCCGGTAGACTTGAGAGCAGCCGCCCAGCTGGATTTTCCATGCCTGACGCTGAATTTACAGTGCTGGATGCTGGAGCAATTGCTGGCTGGCTTGTTGTTCAAGCATGGTCTTGCTGAGATCAGAGCAGCGGAGCCCTGTCCCTGCAACCAAAAAAGGGGAAAACAGGCACCTGGAATGAAAAGAGCTATGGCTGCAGCAACAGAAACCCGGGGAGCTGTGGTCCTGGGGCCCCAGGGAGGGCCAGGCGGAGACAAGCTGTCCCCCATTTCTCTCAGTGTTTCGAAACCTCATTGGAAATCCAGTCCTCTTGCGCTTGTCGTGCCACACGGACACCCCAAAGTGGTCGCTGTGGACGTGCTGGGATCCCCCTTCTCCCATCAAGCTGCACCCTGAGGTGCTTGGCAATCTGCTTTCCCAAGGATGCTCTGTCTGGGAGCCACCCTGCATCCTGATCCTGGGATTTTTCCTCGCAGCTGGGAGCCAGGGACCGCAGGGACCTTGGGAATGTGGGATTCCTCGTCCTGAGCCCCTTCGAGGTCCCGCTGTGGGTTTGTCCATCCCCCAGGACATCACAGAGTCCTTTTACCTCTTCCCCCCC